CAGCAAGCAACTTCAACCAGCAGGCTTCGTCGCCAGCGCTCGGTCTTCGGAGACATCGGCAGGCTGCGCCGGGCACGACTGCCTCGGCCCTCCAGCGCTCTCACACCCGACTCACTGGGGCACAGCGCCTGGACTCGCCGGTGGTCGTGTTACGGTCCGACCCACTGGGCATCTGGCGTAGCCACTGCCTCATGGCTCCTACGACCGCGCTCGACTAGCCTTTCACCACCAGCAGCAACCTCCGCCATTTGCCGCGCAGCGATCAAGCAACCTCCAACTCACGCTGCCGCACGGCAACCAAGCAACCTCCAGCCACGGCCGCACTGCGGCCAGGCCACTCGCCATTCACTAGCCTTTCTCCTTACCGGCGCGCGCCGCGCTACCTCACCGGTCAATCATCTCAGCAGCCACGGTCCTTTTCAGGGCCAACAAACTGTTCCGAAGAAGTGGGTTGTCATCGGAGTAATGACAAGACACACACACTCGATGACAATAGAGAGCCCCACAACACATTTACACTTCCACCTAACTTGCTCTTGCATACAAAATGATACTTTCAAAAGAAAAGTGGTGGGTGATTCTTATAAGCAAATTACTCGCACTCTCTCTTCAGTCTGTGTGTGATTTAGCTTGAGGGTCTATCAGACATATGCAAATGTCAATTTGTTAAAATCCAGTATACAACTAACCCATGCAACGAACTGGTGAGTTTCGGATGGTGAACAATGCTCTTCTCCAGTGCAAGTGATTCTTCTGTGTCTATGTACTTGGTAATTCACTTTCAGTCAATTACATAGCATCATACTCCAGAGAACAGAACCCTTCAACTTGTGTTGGTCTAGTGCTGCCACTATTATTTTCATAGATAATGTATATGATGCTGGAAGCAGCATCATCAGCAGCGACTTGAAGCACAGAGCAAATGATGCTCGAGATGGTTCAAGTTCATATAGCAACAGGCGTGACCAGAGTGGTTTGAACGGCTGTTGTACTGCGATGTGGAAAGCAAATGGAAAAACTACCACATTATCACTTTTCCTGGATAGTCTCTTTCCAAAAACAGAGACACCATGTATGTGAACCAGAAGACGTAAGAAGATGCTGGATGACTTTGGGGACAGAAGAGGATATTTTTATTTGAAGTAGAAAGCTCTAGATTGCATTAAGTGTAGGCACTGTTTTGGAACAGACTGTGGACCTGTCATCTGACAGATTACTGATGATGATGATGTAACCTCCATGCTAATGCACACATTTACCTGAAAATCCTTAAGTTCAAGATGGAAAAATTAATCGTTAAATTGATATCAAGGTTTCTTTTTAATCTGTTTTAAAAAAATTTGATGCCTGACATGCTTGGAATTAATGAACTAACCAACTATGTAAATTCCAGTCCTTCTTGAAAGAAATAAGAGTCGCTCAACTGCTAATGAAATTCCACACCTTTCTTGGAACCACGTTCACACAAGCTCAACATCAGCCACTGTTTTAAGATATGAGCACACACATCCACCATATTTATTTAAGACACAATTTAATATTATCCTGACAGGATCTTCTGAAATGCACGTTCCCTTCAGGATTTTACAACCATCATTTTCTATGAAATTATCTTCTTCCCATGCGTGCTATACGCCCCTCCCAGTCCATCTTTCGTGATTTGACGAGCTTAATAATACTTGGCAAAGAAAACAAATTATGAAGGCGCTCTTTATGGTGAGTAATTCAGCACTATAATTCAGATGGCCCCTGGCATGAGACTGTCTGAAGCAACGAGTATACTCGATAGTGTCCATGAAGCGGTTACGCACCGTTCTATAATTCGTCACAACACATGAATATCAGTCGCCGGTGTTCTCTTCTGGTACATGTTTACAGCTGATTCGGAGGAATGTGTCGCCACCATCTTCAGGGTATAAGACTGGCTATTGTAACTGAATCATCTGTGGTATTTATCGACCCATCGAGGTATGTGGTGCTCTGCTACCTAAAAACAGATGACAACACTTACTTTGAAACCATTTTCCAATTAATGATAATTCAGAGATCACCACGTAACATTAGATAAGCCACAAATCGACAAACCTGAAATTTCACAGGGCTTCGGTGACAACGCAACATCAAGCTGTGTCCAGTTCAAAATTGGCATCGCTGCTGGTGATCTGTCTATCTAGAACATAATCACACTGCAGAAGGCGACTGTTTTGCATGGACATTCAGCTACACGGTACCGAGCAAGTTAGCTCAGTGGTGCCACTTACTGAGTATTAAATCGTGTGGAAATTTTTGTTGGATTTTTGGGTTTTCATGGCGGTAGCAATGATGAATGCGGTCTTCTGCGTTGTAACACGGTGTAGTTCGGAGAGAGGTCAACGCTTCGAAGGAACTTATCGCCTCCATCTTCACGGCAAAAGTTAAGCCAAGTAAGAAACCAGCAGCAGCAAGCGGTAAGCTTCTTCCTCGCGTAGCTGACTCTTCGACCTTGAAGATGGACGTGATATGTTCTTTCAAACGTTCGTCTCTCAACTACACGGCGTTACAACCCAGAAAATCTTACTCTTCATGTGGTAATTTGTAAAAACTTCTTCAAGGGTACGTCACCCCTCGAGTTGGAACCCTTACAGAAGAAATGTCCTGTGTGTTCAGTGAGAGCTTGGTATGCAATTCTGGGGATCCCATCTCATGTTAAGAACAAGATCTAGTAACTTTGTAACAATGACGTAACGATCTTCAGATTACTGGGCGCTACATTCACTATGAGGCTACCGCTCATTTGCCTGGAAAGTTTGAATAAAACTACGAAAATCAGTATACGAGATATATGGGCTGAGATTCGAACCAAGAACCTTCCGAATGGGAGTCTAAGGGCGGCCGCCGCACACAAACTGCGTCAAGACAAGCAACAGGACATAGGACAAAAGACGCAGCCTTTCTTCATTCCTGATTCGTCAGCATCATGACTCGGACCGGTGTGCGGCGGTTTTCATAATCTCATTCGTTTCAGCTGTGCTTCTTTCTTTGCGTCACGTCGCAGACATCGTGTCTTGACTGTTACATGTCTTGAGGCATGCCAGTGTGCGGCCTACCTAAAGCGTTACCGCTGTGCCAATCTGCTCGGTACCTTTCTGCTGTTAATTTAGGTATAATACAGTAAATTATTTTCAGTTTTAATTTTTCGCCTTCTTATTTCATAGGCTGCCGAAGTCCTATGCCTTATGCAGGGCACAATGTTGCATTCGTGGCTCCTGTTTAAGGCCAAGAGGATTTCAGAGACGATTACGTTGTCAAAACACGGCTCCAGATGATATTACAGGGTTACACTGTGCAAATGGAACCTAATTCTGTGTTTCCTAAGCGAATTTGGTTTCACCACAGCGCAGAATATTTCGAGGCGAAACCTTCATGTAAATGCAATGGCCAGGAAGTCACCAACACCGCACGGGTAAACAAAGAAAGAATTTCAGGCTGACAAAACTGCGTCTTGGCTTGTAATATTGGAATCTGGTTATGATCAAGCAGCCTTCGAGTTCCGTGACAGGGAACTCTTTTAAGCGCTGACAGAAGCCACGGATGGGACACCCTGTTACCACAGAATTATTTCGAATTATCACTTCAATATGCATATTTATCCCGTTTGGCCAAAGAACGATGCACTAATTCCCACACAAGTGTGCCCTCGCACAGCAGCGAGTGATCACACCTCCACAGGATCAGAACGTCACGGGACACTTTGCTTTGGGAGAGGTCGGGGGCACCTGCGTCACCATTTCCCGTCTGCACGCTTGTTACGGCGCAAGAGAGAGCCGTTAGTATCAAGCCAGATTCACGGACCTTGTTAGGTGCCCTTCAGAACCACCTGTTGATTTCCTCTTGTCCGTCCGTCCGCAAGTAGCAGCGCCCGAACTACCTGACGACAACAACCAGATGCGGCACGGTAAACCTACACTAAAATCCCGTCACATTCTCGGTTTGGATATGTTTAAGGGTCGCATTACTTACGTACAGTCGACATAGCGCGGTGGATATAACGACGGACTGCCGGCTGGGCAAGGAAGGGGCAAGAGACTTTTCCCCACAGCGTCCAGACCAACTCTGCCGCCCACGCGGTCTCCTACTCAATAGGTAGTGGAAGTTCTTTCCACTGGGGTAAAGCGGCCTGGGCGTGTAGCTGACCACTCACCTCTAGCTAGTGCCTGGGTAAAGAATAATGGAGGGATACCTCCACTCCCCCACACGTCCTAATTAATTAAGCACGGGGACAGCTTCACTTTTACTTCCAAATAAAACGCCATTGCTCAAGCGGTTAGTCGCTGGCTTCCCACCGTGGCGGCCCGGGTTCGATCCCGGGTCTGGTCAATTGGCATTTGTGGTGGATAAAGTGGCGCTGGGGCAGGTTTTCTCCGAGTACTTCGGTTTCCCTTGCCAATCTTCATTCCACCAATTGCTCCATAATCGCCCTCACCTATCATCTGGGACTGGTACAACAGGCCAGAAGTGGCCGCAGTACAAGGGACTTAGTCCCACCCCACTAGCAATAAAAAAATACTTTGAATTTGAGGTTCTCGCAGCGGTGGTTGTGAAGAGTACTATGTTCCGGAATGTGACGCCGTGTAGTCCGGTAGAAAGCCAAAGACGTTTCGGAATATCGTAGTGCCTCCATCTTCAGGGTCGAAGATACTGCTAAGCAAGCAAGACACCATTAGCAAACTTACTCCTCGACCCTGAAGATGGAGGTATTCAAAATGTCGGGGAACTCCTACGAGACTACACGGCATCAGAACCCAGATGACAGCACCATTTTAATACATTTACGTCCAATCGTAAAGTGGCAGTTCTGTACCAGAATGTAGTCTAAAATTAAGTTTCGTTCACAGATTTTTCTGCAAGAGGTATAAGTACAAAAGAGTAAATATATCTCTGTAACAGACCGTGGAGGCCCATAGGGTTGTGAGACGTCGAGGCTCCCACATTTTCTAGACAATCGGCTCATAGATGGCGGCAAGGTCATCAGCCCTACGCGCCGGCCGCCCTTTACCCCCAAGAATATTCCTGGTACTTATTTCTGTTAGAGGCTGAGTCGATCCCAGGGCCATAGTGCGGCTGGAAGGATTAGGTGAATTAAAAAATCCAATGACCTCATCGGGATTTGAACCCGCGACCTTCCGGCTTGTATTATAATGCCTCAATCAAGGGGTATAAATACCTAACAAAATGCTAAAATCGGTACAACGGATGGCGAACATGAGGAAATTAACTGGTCTTTATGAATTATGACAAATGGAGACTGAAATGTGTGAAGACAGCCGGAACGTATGCACAAAAACGTCAAGAGATAAAACAGTCTAAACCAAGATGGAGGACGTTGGAGTTATGTAACAATGATATTAATTTCGGGTGTGCATCGTTCTTTGTTTCACCCGCTCGCCACGGTGAGGCACAGGATATGAGCGGGGACCTGAAACAAAAGAAACAAACAAAAACACATACAAAACAAGAGAACTTGCATAAGATCAACAGCAAACAGACACTGGAATTAATAAAACGAAACTTACCTACGTTGCAGGCGCTGCTCGTCTCTTCTTTCGAATGCAAAATCGTTGATCCGATAAGCCGTGCGTTTCAAAACGCCGATCGCGGAGCGCGCGGTGTGCCCACTGCAGCTGTACATGTCAACACTGGACAACTGAGTGAGGCTCAAACGCATTTAAAAAGACGACAACCGCAAGAAGACTGCGAGAAAAACAAAATGTCGACAGCTTCTGTTGAAAACGCAAACGAAATTCATCGTGATTTTACCGCCCTCCATTAAATTTGCAAATCCAAACGAGAACACATAAACGCAATTAAATCAGCCGCAGTTTTCATAAGGATTACGGAAGAAAATCATCGTGATAAGAAATGTGTTAGTGTCACAAGCCTAGCGTTTGTGGTCAGAAGTGTCTAGCTCTTGGAACGGTAAAGGTAAAATTGTCCTTGTGCTTAACTAATTAAGCACTACGCCATGCAGGCGTGTGGGGGAGTGGGTGCATAGATCCATATTTTCTTGACCTTGGCACTAGTTGGAGGTGACTGATCAGCTTCACGTCCCGGCCGCTTTGGCGCAGGGGAAAGAGCCCCCGGTACCCATTGGATAGGAGGCTGGGAGGGCCCCAGAGCCGGTGTGGATGACGTGGAATTGAGACAATTTTTTACCCTACCGGGACTGGAACTCCGACCTCTTGGTCGTCCAGTCCGTAGCTGCGCTATCCCGGCTCACGTTCTGTTTAGTATTCAAATTACGTGTATTATATCAACGACATTTTTGTTTATGTAAAATTCTAAATCCGACAGCAATTGATGGTTTTTACTGACATGTGAAATGCACATATCATATATCGGCGTGTATCTCGATACGTAACGATGTAAATGGCGCGGTTACTTAAGATTATCGACCCACCTGATGTGTTTCTTCATGGTGAAAATCGATGTGTTGTCCGATGTTGCTTTCGGACCTACCTTTTGTGTTGCTTAATGATGAGGATTGATGTGTTCTCCAACGCTGAACATTTTGACTCACCTTTGCGTATCCTCATTAAAACATTTTATACATCAAATTCAAAGCACAGTACACAAAGCAAACATAACATGTCACTCAATAAACATTTCACAAATTCAGTTCACAGCACAATGAACACAAACACAGTATGTCACTTTAAAAAATGTAATATCTGCTTTAGATATCCAAATGGATTCATGAACTTG